GTCCACTTCAGTAGTAAGTCATGTTGGGCCTCAGGAAATGATACCCCAAATGTGTTGCTTTGACATGCAAAGCTGAAGAAACAGGCTCAGAACTAACCTCTCCGACCTTCCCTTTTTTCTCCTCCTAGTGCAGAGAGAGCCTTTCTCAGAAGGGCTCTTGTATGGCTGAGAAACTCTCTTCCAAAAAAAAAGGCAACTATCTTAAACTTCCTCCCTAGGTATCTCATCCAATCAGCAGGAAAGATTAACCACCAAAGGAGAGAGGAGAATGCAAATCATCATCACACCTAGACACTTCATCGACTCTTCTTAAGGTAGCTCTGAGATTACCTGGGAGACTTGGTCGGAATGAAGTCCCTCCCCTCATCTTCCTTTAACTTGTCACTACCTCTCCCATCTCCCTCTCCATAAAGAAGGGTATGAAATTATTGCCTTCTAGCATGGGTCCTTACTTTTAGTAATAACAGAAATTAAAACTTAAGCACAGGCTTACAAGAGAAAGCTTTAATTAGAAAGTAAAAGAAAATGGTTGAGAGACATTAGCTTAAAGGGCTGACAAGCCAGCCCTTAGCAAAGGTGAGCAAGAAAAATAAGACTTCAGCTTGAGCAGCTGGAGGGGGCACACTCTGATAAGGGGGATCAAACTGGCCCGAGAGTAAAGGCAGGAGGCCAGAATTTAAGGATTAGCTGGTGGGCTGGGATCCAGCAGATCATTATTTCAGTGCTGCTTTGTAATTCTGGAATTCTCATGATTTGAGGGCCAGTTCTGTTCCCATAAACATATTGTGGTTTCAATGATGTGGAACTCTGCTCTCTTGGAATCCAGGTGATCACAGATTTGAGACAAAGGCTGGAAATTTCTGAGTGTAGTTGAATGGCCCTGTAAATCCCTTATCCTAGTGTTCTCAGTCTTGAAGTGGTGTGATATCATGTAAGGTCCAAGTTAATCAATATTGTTTTGCCAACTTTTAGACAGACACTTCCTAAATGATTAACATACATATATACAGAGCCAAGAAATGATAAGGCCTGAGATTTATACTAGTTACAAAGGATATAAAATGAAGGTTGAGCTTTGTTCTGCTTTTAGCTACCTATTGGGCATCTGTAGTCCTAAGTGAAGAGTTACAATTTTTAGCAAAAATGGCTTGAAAGTCACTGACTGTCCCAGAAGAACATATAAATCATGCTTTTAATGTATAGTAGATAAGGGCCCAGGATTCTGCCTATCCTCCATCCCTATGGTGGTCTCTGACTATGAGCCTCCTTGGGTTGTTGGATAATCCCCTGTCATTTCTCCCATGCTTGTGCACTTTAATAAATTTCTCTTCACTCTGGATTATTCTGTCAGTTTGTTTCAGTTAACCTTCAAAGGGCAAAGGGGAAGCTTTCCCTTGCTGCTGTAATTACTATTAGTGACTTATCAGGCTTACTCCTTCCTTTTTTTCCTGTATTCAGATGAACCTAATTCCAACCTAAAAGTTAGTGAAGTCAGCAATTGGAACCTAAAAGATCTAATGCAAGTACCAACTAAACGGAACTTCAAGAGAAAACAGTCAATTCAATGAGCTCTTAGAAAGTAACTCTTCTGGATCTGTCATTTGCACTCTTTCTAACCATCTTCTTAACTCCTGCAAAGTGGAGTCTTGCAGCTTTTTAATCAAAATGTAATTAGCACCTTCCACACAATAAGTACTCTATGATTAGGAGTGTCAGTGAAAAAATTATATGTCTAGTCACCCAGTTATCAGCAGAGCAATTCCTTGTAACTCTTGCTCATTAAAGCCAACTTCTCTAAGCTCTTGCCCAAGAGCCACACAGCAAAGGTTTCCCAGGCTTCAGTTGTACTTCTTCTCTTTTTCTTATTTCACTTTTTCTCTTCTCTTCTTCTTTTTCACTTAATCTCCCTTTTCCCAGTCCCCTATCCATAATTGTTTCCATCTCCTCTAAAAGACCCCCGTTGTAGAAAAGAATTACTTTTTAACAAGTAGGCTTTTGTCAATTTTGAGTAATTATTTCTGCCCTCTCCCACATTAGGATGTGGCCTGTTGGACTCATACCAGGCATTGTTCCTACAAGTCCAAATCACAGTCCTTGCCTTACAATCTCATAAAACTCTCATTTCCTATGAGCTCCAGGCTTACTAAATAATTTAAAAGTTGCTTTCTTACCAAAAGCAGCATTCTCTTCAAACATGCCTTGAGCAAGAAAATCCAAGGCCTTCACAGTTTACACCTGCAAATATTAGAAAGGGCTCGAGTGTCTAAATCCCAGAGATCTGTGGTGCTGTTAAAGAATTCCATTGTCATGGGCCGGGGATCTAGCTCAGTGGTTCCGGCGCCTGCCTTGCAAGCGCAGGGTCCTGAGTTCAATTCCCGGTAACCAAAAAAAAAGAATTCCACTGCCACAACAAGTCTAATATGTGAAAACTCAAGTGCATTATGTTGTCTGTCTGGCTTCTTTAATAGCATAGTTTGACTTTCTGATATAGAGAATCAACAAAAAACAAAAAGAAGTTAAATTCAGTACCAAGCTGTGGCAGCAAAATTACTTTAGAAACAATAAATAAGGACAGTCAGGGAATGTCAAGTTTCCAAAAAAAAATTCAGAGTTGCACTATGAAATCACCACCTGACCAATCAAGAATAGATATCTAAATATTAACTGATAGAGAGACTGTCTTCCAGGGCCAAGAGGGAGAAGACCCAAGAAAAGTCTAGGGTTCATTTATCTGTCATAGAGTAAATGGGTTAAGCATTCTAAGGAGTGAAGAATTCAGAATAGGAATGGACATTTACTAATTTAGCAAATATCTATCAAACCTCTAGCTAGGATGTGCCAAGCACTACTCCTAAATGGTGGTAAATAAGAAAGATGCATTTCATGTTTCATGGAGCTTATATTCCATTAGAAAAATACTTGTCATTCCATCAAAACCTCACACTCCGGATTCTCATATGATGAGCAGGGATTTATGACCCTGTATTAAAAAGGAGTAAATTAGGCAGCATAATACAAACAAAATTAGTAACAAAAAGAAAGAGCAGGGCTGGGGATTTAGTTCAGTGGTGAAATGCCTGCCTTGCAAGCACAAGGTCCTGAGTTCAATCCCCGGTACCAAAAATTAGAAAGAGCAATGTGCACAAAGTACTCTCCGTGAGCACAGAGCAGTACAATTTACACACTTTCAGTTGTCTGCCTAGCGCTGGTGTATGCTCATGTCAGGTGCAGATGCTAAAGGATGCTGTTAAACATCCAGCTTTCACCCCTTTCTTCAATTCAATCCCTGGAAAATAACATCTTTGTCATAACCTGGCTTACCAGATTTGGTAAGATCATTATTTACCTTTTTAATGCTTATTTTCTTTTCCTATTAAAAAAGAAACTCTATTCCTCTGCCTTCTATGCTCTATACGTAAGACCTGTGAACTAAACTAACAAAAGAGAAATTTAGAAGGAGAAAAGCCATGCAATTTTTATTAATGTTTACATGCACAGAAAGTCACAGAAAAGAAGTAAAAATCAAAGAAGGACTAGGTGTATAGATCATGGTAGCATTTATGATGTCCTGGGTTCAATCTTCAGCAGGAATAGGAGGAGGGAAAAAAGGAGGAAGAAGAGGGGGAGGAGAAAGTAGAGGAGGAGGAGGAAGAGGGGATTCGTGCCCCACTTTTAGGCAGATAAAGAGAAAACCAAGAGCTCTCTCTACATCTATTGATTCTCAATTGCCTTTAGATCCCCAAAAATGGCATAGATTGGGCTGGCATATTCTGATTCCTTCATTTCTTAATAAACATACAGCTGAAAGTGTAGCCACCTAGAATAACTACATCTCCTCTCCTAGGTGCTCTTGCAGTCTGGTTTATCCATGTGACTTAACTCTGGTCAATGGGCTATGAGAAGTGTGATATGCAACCTCTGTGTGGGGCTTTTGGAGGAAATTCATCTGCCCGCTCCCTTCCCACAGGCTGGAAAGCAGACATGGTGTGGGTATTCTTAGACCACATGGATGAGACCACACATCAGAGATAAGGAAAAAATAAATGGAAGAAGACTGGGCCTTTAGGGAGATTAGACTTTTATGTGAAAGAAACTAGATTTTTGTTGTATTTGAGCTGCTATGAAATATGGATTTCAAGGACTTCCAGAAAGATGGTACAGTGGTGAGCAGCACAGAAACAGCCTCTCTGAGATTTGGAGTACTTTCATTGAAATACAACAATGTGAGGAAGAGAAGAAGGAGGGAAGTGGGCCCCCGAACCTAGCAAGGATCTAAAGCAAGAACTGGAGCCCATGGGGAGAGCAAAGAGAGGGACCTCAATGCAGAAGAGGGAGGTGGCAAGCAGCACTTTCTCCCTGAGCAACAGCTCATGGTGTGGGACAGGCAGCTCAAACCTGCAGATGCATGATGACTCCTGGTGACCCCAGGAACCTTCACAAAGAAACATATCAATGGAACAGAGCAGTAAACACTGGGGACTAGGTTCCATTCCAGCCCAGTTCAGGCGTCCCCAGGAAAGCATGACTGTCCAGTCGCCATTTTGGAAAGGGGCCAACTGAACTCAGAACTCAGAACAGCTGTGGGTTGGCTCTATCTAGTAGCTCAAAGTGTGAAGGTGAGGCACAGACCTAGGAGACACCTAAGGTCAAGGAGCTGAGTTCCAGCTGGCAGGAGACACCTGAAGTGCTGTGGGCTGAACAACTTAGGTCTCAGCCTCACAGCCAGAAACCAGAACCACCCTGAACTTCAGTGGTGCTGAAGGTACAGGCTTGCTGGGATCATCCACCACTCCACTATAATCCTACTGTTGGCTTGCTGGGATCAGTCAACATGGATCTGGACTCTGTCTGCCCCCTTTGTCTACCAATGACAATAGAGACATGTCTTGAAGTGAACAGGTTTTTTTTTCTTCCTTTGTTCTTTTTCTTATCTTTTTCTTGATTGTTTGTGTTCGTTTTTATAGGAGTGTTAGCATTGTTTCTTGTTTTTTGTTGTTATTTTGTTCTGTTTCTTCCTTCTTTCTTTCCTTCCAGTCATCTTCACCAGCTTCCCAAAGCTTGCTTAGTCTTCCTTTGTCCTCCAGCCTTGCTTCTAATCTCTTTCTCTTCTTGTACTTCTCTATTTTTCCCCTAACCTTTTAAGTTTTCTCCCATGAGGGTAAAATTACCATATTGATGGGATACTTACTGTCTACAATTTCCTGGTTTGTTTAGACTTTATTATATACAAATCACATTCATACCATTAGGTGGCAAATTAATAGTTACAACCGTTTGTCATTTTCTGGGCTGTGCTTGATGCTCTTATTGTATTACTTGATGCTCTGATTGTATTACTTGATGCTCTGATTGTATTACCTCAGCCAAGGTGATACAGTTGCTCAAATCAGTTGTTCTTCCTTGTATATCAAGACTGAGATTGCCTGAGGGTCAAAAACAATACTATAGGCTAGTGCCAAAGAACCAGTGGCTAGGCAATCATAAATATATATGAACCAAATACAGCACATCCAACCATATAAAACAAATATTAATGAACATGAAACATCAAATAATCACTAATATAATTGTAATGGGGGACTTCAATACCTCACTATCTCACAAATAGATCAATTAGACAAAAGTCAACACAGAAATTTCAAAACTGAGCTAAACTTTTGAACAAATCGACTTAGTGGATGTCTACAAAGTGTTCCACCTCACAACATCAGAATACACATTTTCCTCAGCTGCACATGGAACATTCTCCAAAATAGACTATATACTAGCTCCTAGAACATGTTAAAGTAAATCCAAAGGAATTGAAATTATCCCATGCATCTTATCAGACCATAGGGCAATGAAATTAGAAATCAATGGCAAAAGAAACCACAAAAAATTCATAAACACACGAAAATTAAATACCACCCTTCTGAACAACCAATGGGTCCCAGATGAAGTTAAAGAAATTAGACAGTTTCTACAACTAAATGATAATGCTAATAAAACATACCAGAACTTATGGGACACAATGAAAACTGTCCTAAGGGGGAAATTTATAGAGGTTAATTGCCATATCAAAAAAACAGAATGAACTCAAATAAACACCCTGATGTTGAACCTCAAGAGTCTAGAAAAAGAAAAGCAAGTCAAGCCCAAAGCTCATACAAGGGAGGAAATTATACAGAGCAGAGCAGAAATTAATGCAGTTGAGACTAGGAAAACAATACAAAAAATGAATGGATGGAAGAGTTTGTTCTTTGAAAGATTAAAGAAAATAGGCAAAAACTTAGCCACTTCAACAGCAATTTTACTGTCAAAAAAAACAGACCCAAGGATCAGTGGAACAGATTAGAAGATGCAGAAATAACTCCAAACACACTCTGCCTGCTTATCTTGAGAAAGGGGCCAAACACTTGGTTAGAAGAAAAATAGCCTCTAATGAATGGTGCTGTTGGGCCAGGGATTTAGCTCAGTGGCACCACTCCTGCCTTGCAAGCTCAAGGTCCTGAGTTCAATCCCTGGTACCAGAAATAAATAAATAAATAAATGGTGCTGTAAAAACTGGCTTTCCACATGACAAAGATTAAAACTAGACTGATGTCACTCACTATGCACTAAACTAAAATCTAAATGGATCAAAGATCTAAATATAAAACAGAAACACTAAATCTGCTGGAAGAGAGACTAGGTTGAGCTCTTGAGGACACAGGTGTAGGCAAAGACTTTATGAATCAACCTCTGATCACACAGAAAATACTACCAAGAATCAACAACTGGGATCTCATCTTATTAAAAAGCTTTTACAAAAAAAGAGACAAAATAAATACTGGTGAACACGTGGAGAAATTAGAAACGTTATAAACTCTTGGTGGGACTGCAAAGTATTGCAAATGTTATTGAAAGCAATATAAAATTTCCTCAAAAAATTAAAAATAGAATGTGATACAAGAAACCTCTCTACTGATTATATAACCAGAAAATAGAAAGCAGGATATGAATGATATATTTGCATATATATGATTATAACAAAATTATTCTCAATAGCAAGGAAAGAATCAACATATATAATTCACTGTACTAATAAATGTCTGGAAGCTAATGGGCACCACTTTGAGCATCTCTTGTAATTGTAAAGGACAAAGGCAACTTGTATTAATCTCCTGATGTCTCAATAAATTGAGTATTAAAGTATTTTTTTCAAAAGCTTTTGCACAGCAATAGAAATCACCAACAGAGTGAACCAACAACCCTCAGAGTGGGGAAAAAATTGCCAGCTGTTTCTCAGACAAAGGACTAATATCTAGCATATATAAAGAACTCAAAAAAATCAGGTTCCCCAAATTTAAAGACCTAATCCAAAAAATTGGCATCTGAAATGAATACACATTTCTCAGATGAAGAAGTAAAAACAGCAAACAAACATATGAAAAAATGTTCAACATCGCTGGTCATTCAAGAGATGCAAATGAAAACAACAGCGAGATTCTACTTCACTCCAGAAAGAATAACTATTATCAAGAAATCAATAACAAATGCTGATGGGGCTGTGGAAAAAAAAAGAACACTTCCCCATTATTGGTGGGAGTATAGAGAGGTGCAGCCACTGTGGAAATCAGTGTGGAGAGTCCTCAAAAAACTAAAACTAGAGATTTCATTGGACCCAGCTCTTCCCCTTCTTGGTATCTTCCCAAAAGAATTGAAAGCATCATACCACAATGATGTATGCACACCCATGTTTATAGCAGCACAGTTTGTAATAGCTAAACCTTGGAAATAGTCCAAATGCCCATCAACTGATTAATGGATAAAGAAGATATGGGGGTTTTTATACATTGGAGTACTACTCTGCCAGAAAGAAGGATAAACTTGAGACATTTCTAGGTGAATGAATGCACCTTGAGACCATATTTGTAAGTGAAATAAATCAGACACACATGTTTAAATATCTTATTGTTTCTCTAGTGTGAGAAAACAAAAGGGCAAATAAGAACCAAAATGTATAATAGATATTGTGAAATAGGAAGAAAATATTCAAATGGGAGGGGAGACAAAGGAGGGGGAAGGAGGAAAGGAAGGAAGAGACAAGAAAAAAGAGAATGGAAGGCAAAATAGAAACAACGCTTTTGTAAATAAGGAAGGGAAGAGGAGTTGAAGGGGGGAAGAGGGAATTGGAGAAAAAAGAATCAAGATATACCATGTACAGCTACAAATTCCATTTGATGAATGTTATCATTATGTATATCTATAATGTACCAATAAAATTAACTTTAAAAAATGAAACATAGATTTCTGTCTCACTCAGTAGAATCCATATCCTAATATATTATGTAAATTTCCCCTTTCAGGGATCACAGGCAGAATGTGTCCCTTTGCCATATTACGAATTAATACACCAGCACTGGAGCAGAGAGCAGGCATCGGCCTTCCACAGCCACTCTGCCAGGCAGGGCCTCCAGAGTTTTCCCAGAGTCCAACCCCCTGGAAAGGCCTCTAGCCTTACAGCAGTACAAGTGGCTCACATGGCAAAGAAGATATGAAATCTCACCATAACATAAACAATGGTGGTGCAGCCAGTACTTTCTCTGGGGTCTGAATAACCAGAGCTGCACTCTCACCATGAACAAAGACCCAAGCAGTCATCTGTTCACTTTTTCTTTTTTGTTATGTAGTCCAGGTTGTTCTCAAACTTGCAATCCTCCTGCTTCAGCCTCCCAACTGCTGGGATTACAGAAAACTGCCACCACATACAACTCTTTCTCCTTCTAATAATTGGTATCTTAGGAACTTGGCCAGGATGTTAATAGAAAGGGTATTGTTCTCAAGAATCTGTTGTTTAAAAAAATTTTAGACAAAATAAATGGGACAGATTACATGAAAGGATTTATGATTGGAGAAGCACTTTCAGAGACTTTCAGAGATCTTTGCTCCACAGTATGAGTAGCAAGCTTTCACAGGCTGACTCAGGAGTAAAGCTAAAAACTTATTTGACAGGTTATAGCCAGGCATTTGACTGGTTATAGCTAGGGTATGATCCAGTAGCTAATACCAAGTTAGAGGTTAGTTGGTGGTTTCTGATTGATTAAGCTTAAATTTTGTTTTACAATTAACAATGAATTGAGTTTTGATTTGCTTATGTAGGACCCTGATCATAGAGACAATCTTGGTCTAATCATCTCCTTCTTATTTGCTTTCACAGCATGATGCTGAAATGATCAACTTGTCCAAGTTTTCTGTAACATTCCTGATATTAGCACTAAATATCCTGCATCCTGAAAATTATTCAATTACAAGCACAGGAACAGATGGTTACCTGGTGTGATGCATACCAGAGCATAGACAAAAGATCCCATTTCATAAAAAAACCACATCTTCTTTATCCATTTTCCAGTTGATGGGCACTTGGGCTGTTTCCAAGCTTTTATAAAATGGGGTATTACTCAGCCATAAAGAACGAGAAACTAGAGACATTTATAGCTAAATGGATGCATACTGAGGCCATTCTCTTAAGTGAAATAAATAGGACACACTCGTGTAAATACCGAATAGTTTCTCTAGTGTGAGAAACTGAAAGTATAATTAAGGATTAAAGTGATTAAAATGAATAATTGATAATTTGAAATAGGAAGAAAAGGTCCAAAGGGCTAAGGGTGCCAGAAGGGGAAGGGGAGAGATCAAAGTTACAGGCCGGAATCTGGAAAGAATCCATATATAGATTGTGTTTAAAACTGTAGGAAGAGATGTAGATAGAGAGTAGGCTGGCGCTCATCAGTGGGTTGGGAAGGAAGAGTCACTGAGATCAAAGGAGAGAAGGGTGTGTTTCCAGAAGAAGCACATACAACTATGTACAGTACACAGTACTCAATAGCACGATAAAAAACTGTTACTGTTTTAGGTACTTATCATAACATGCTGTGCTTTTCATCCTTTAGAGCATAATCCTACTTATATAAAAGAGTTT